ACACACACACACACACACACACACACACACACACACACACACCCGAGTCCATTTACTGGTGTTCATATGCATATGTGTTTAGGGCTGACCACTGTGATTGAACAACCTACCAAAGAGTTTTTCCTTGGAGAAAACAGACTCTCTCCCTCTCTCAGCAATCACTGATTGCCAGCAGCACGTGATCTTGAAGTAAGACCTTGTATAATCTCCCTGTATAATCTCCCTGGCATATCAACAGGTGCCACCATTATGCAGATCTTATTTAGGAAACTGTACTGTTGAGATTTCATGGGTGTAGCTTCCCTGTCATGTTTGGAAGACATTATCTAGTAGCAGATGCCCTGGCCTTCTGGGTCTTAAACTCCCCCTGCCCCCACTCCCACCTGTCTAGAAAAGGCTGTTTGCTAGGTATAAGGGTTACATTGTAGATGTATCAAGCTGGGTACTCCACAGTTACTATTCATTTTGGTAAGTTGTAGATTTCTGTAATAATCTCCCTTAGCACTACTGTCACTTTTGAATTAACTAGTAATTTTGTTGTTGGAGTAGAGGGAACTATCCTATACATTGTGGAATGTTTAATAGCAATCATGGTTTCTGCACACTAACAACCCCTAACTGTCACAATGTTTCCAAGAAATTTTGGAAAGATGACAACATAGCAAATGCAACATAGAATACAAATGCAAGAGCTAACTTTTTGTTTTCTGGGAAAGTAACAGGATAAAGAAACTGTTTTTGAAAACTGTTAACTAAGGGCTGAAGTGATGATTTGGTGGTTAAGAGCACTGGCTGCTCTTCCAGAGGACCTGGATTTGATTCTCAGCACCCATATGGGAGTTCACAATTACCTGTAACTCCAGTTCCAGAGATCCCCTTTTGTGAGTTCTCTAGGTACCAGACACACACACACACACACACACACACAGAGACATACATGCAGGCCAAACACACAAAATAAAAACACTGTAGGAGACAGGAAAAACAAAAACAACCCACAAAGCTATTAACTATATATACTCATTGAAGCCTAAAATGACAGTAAAGAATAAACAATGAAACTCTACTGATAAAGTCTAAAAAGGCATAGTTATAACCTAAATGACCTCAAGTAAATAACAGAAACAAAAGTGGTGGTAGTATCTAAGTCAAAAATTTCTGCTGGACATGGAGGTGCACACCTTTAAGTTCCAAATGGATCTTTATGAGTTTGAGGCCAGCCTGGTCTACAGAGTGAGTTCCAAGACACCAAAACTACACCCTGTCTCGGGAAAAATTAAGAAAATTCAAGCAGTAATGTAGAATAAAAAAATCTGATCCACAATGACATTTAAGACAATTCTTTTACCCAAAACAAAAGGCCTACAACTGCCACCAATTTCCACACAACTGACCTCTTACATTCAACTATATTCCAGGTGTTCCCAACAACCCTTTACCTATAGTTCTAAAAACCAAAACTTCTGGAACATTTTGTTACTTTGTGAGCTTGTACAAAATTTCAATTAGTGGTGAAAAGCAAAACAAAGCAAGCAAAGAAACACACATGAACATAAATTTTTAATATATGTATAAAAACCTGGATATTGGGGGCCTGTAATCCCATAGTGAGTTCTAGGCTAGCACAGGCAACAGAATGAGATCCTGTCTAAAAGATAAAAACTTTAAATATGTATATTTATATATGTATGTGTGGTGTGACACGTGACTACAGACTCTATATTACTTAGGAGAATATCTTCGTGAATACTCAGAACTCTTGCAGAGAAACCTTGCTGCTTGATTACAAGTTTCTATTAAGATGCTGCTGAGAAAGTATTCAGAACTCTGAAATATACCTCATCTCAAAAGTTTCAGATAGAGTATGCTGACTATATTACATGTACACAGTAATGTACACAGTAATGCAATGATTTATTTCTTTGATACTTTTGAAGAACAGGAAAAAAAAAAGTGAGAGAATTGTTTAAAAAGAGGTCATGATCCAGGCAGTGGTGGTGTATGCCTTCGGTCCCAGCACCAGAGAGGCAGAGGCAGGCAGATCTCTGTGAGTTCAAGGCCAGCCTAGTCTACAGAGCAAGTTCTAGGACACATAGGGCTACACAAAGAAACCCTGTCTTGAAAAACCGAAAAGAGGAAAAAAAAAAGTAATATATTAAAAAGCAAACTATGAGCAAAAGTGGATTTAAACCATAAGGTAAAAAGGAACTTCAGATTAAATATACTATAGATAGTGACACACCGGAAAAAAGACATCATGAAACAGGCATGGTGCAAACTATAACCCGTAAATTGTAACCAATCCTATAAATTCCTGAGGCTTACCTACAAGAATACGTTGTTTCTCCACTTTTGAAAACCTTCCCACACAACTGAAATGCTCCACTGTGCTTTAATTTCTCTAAGCAAATATCCGGATCCTCTCCAAATAAGTACCATTCCAGTGGAGTGAATATTGACATTTGTACATTCTCTTCTTGCTTTTCCAAATCTGGGTCCATCTCAGCAAAATAAATTTCTGGCACTGATTGTGCCAAATGATGTAAGAAAGCAGTATAAAAATCAGCTTGTTGATCCCACCACTGAAAGGGGAAAAAAAGATGACAATCAGACATTTTTATTTTTATAAATTCCTTTTTTAGTTAAAAAAAAGTAGAGTATCTTATTCTTTGAGATTTTCATACATAATCATATTGATCATATTCACTACCACCCTTCCCCCATCTCTACCCCCTACTTCTCCATCCCCTCCCAACTTTGTACCCCTTTCCTTTATGTACATACATCTAACTTATTAAATCCAATTTGTGCTACCCATACACTGGAGTATGACAGGCCTGCCAGGGGCCATACCCTTAAAGCCAAGTTATTTCTTTCCTTTTTTTTTTTTTTTTTTTTTTTTTTTTTTTTTTTTTTTTTTTACCCCGAGACAGGGTTTCTCTATGTAACAGTCCTAGCTGCCCTAGAACTTGCTCTGTAGACCAGCCTGACTATGAACTCAAAGATTCACCTGCCTCTGCCTCCCAAGTGCTGGGATTAAAGGTGTGCACCGCTACGCCAGGATACCAAGTTATTTCTTAGTGATCAAGGAGTACAAATAATGGCATAATTCTGTACTATGAAAGCAATTTGCAAAATATCTTTACCCTTCATCAATACAGAATAAGAGGAGAATCAACTGGCCCAACAAGATGGCTCACCAAGTGAAGTACTTGCTATCAAGCCTGATGACCTGGCTAACCCAAGGATTAAGGTGGTCTAAGTAGAAAACTGATCCTTGCAATCGGTCCTCTGAGTCATGTGTATTGTGGCACTTTTAAGTGGTTTTTTTCGTGTGTGGGGGGGGTTAGAGTCAGGGTTTCTCTGTGGTTTTGGAGGCTGCCCTGGAACTCGCTCAGTAGACCAGGCTGGTCTCAAACTACAGAGATCCGCCTGTCTCTGCCTCCCGAGTACTGGCATTAAAGGAGTACACCACCACCGCCCAGCTTTAAGTGTTTTTTTAAGAGTTGAATTAATTGTGGGTTAGCCATATATCAACACAACTAGAGTATGTGGAGACATATGTCCTGATATATCCTTCAAGTTATACTGTTAAATAATAGACAAAAGGCCAGGCAACTACACAGAGAATCCCTGTCTCAAAGATTAAAAAAAAAAAAAAAAAAAAAAAAGCAACCTAACTAACTAACTAAAGAAATGGCAAAAGGCACAGAACAGTGAGCCCATATGCTACTGTTTATACAGAGGAGAAGAGAAGACATGCTGTATATGCTTATATTTAAACAGAAGATCTCTGGGGAAAGAGTGGATATAGCTAAGGTAGTAGAGTGCTTATCTAGCATACAGGAAGTCCTGGGTTCCACCCACAGTAACATTAAAACTTGGCATGATGACACACACCTATATCACAGCACTCTGGAGATAACAACAAAAGGATCAGAAGCTCAAGATCATCCTCAACTACACATAAGTGAAAGGCCTGGGGAATATGAGACCTGCCTCTTAAAACAACAACAACAACAAAAAGAATCTCTGAAAAAATTCAAAATAAACTAACAATGGTAAGAGCCCTGGGGAGGATATAGCTTTTACTGTCTGTCTTTACTGTGGTTTGAATATGCAATATGTTTAAACAGATGGGAGGCTGTGGAGCCTGAAGAGGTAGAACCTCTGTTGGCAGTAGGTAACTAAGGGACTGGCTATGAAAGGCAGTCATAGCCAGCCTTTTAGAACCCTCTGCCCTAACCTCTGTTTCCTAGTCAGTCACACAAGTATGAGCCAGCCACCTCCGGCTCCCACCACTAAATAGCACGCCTTCCTGGCCATGGAACTAGGAGCCAAAAATCAACAAATCTTCCCTTTCCCTAAGCTGCCTCTGCCAGATATTTTGTCCCAGCAAAGAGAAAAAACTAATTTAGACACCGTGTGTGTGTGTGTGTGTGTGTGTGTGTGTGTGTGTGTGTGTGTGTGTGTGTGTGTGAGAGAGAGAGAGAGAGAGAGAGAGAGAGTATTCCCTACCCCTTCAGATTTTTAGGAGACAGGGTCTCACTATGTAGCCCTGGCTGGCCTGAAATGACACTATGTAGACCAGGGTGGCCTAGAACTTGCAGAGATCAATGAACCTGCTTCTGAGTGCCAGGTTAAAGGGATACATTGCCATGCCCAGCAGAACATACCATTCTATGTATATAGAATGCCATAAAATACTGTTCAGTAGCTGGGCAGTGGTGGCTCACACCTTTAGTCCCAGCACTCGGGAGGCAGAGGCAGACGGATCTCTGTGAGTTTGAGACCAGCCTGGTCTACAAGAGCTAGTTCCAGGACAGCCTTCAAAGCCACAGAGAAACCCTGCCTTGAAAAAGCAAGGGAAAAAAAAAAAAAAGCAAAACAAACTAACAGAAAAACTTAACACTTAACTCTTTACAAGTAGCTCTGGAAACTCCTGAGGAAAGGAGCTACCTTCCAAAACTCCTTATACCAACAGGAACAGCACAAATATACAATAGAAGTTCTAAGTAGTCACTACATTAAGTACTTGTTCCTAGAAATAACAATTCAAAATTTGACAGTAAGCCTTTGCAA